AATCTGTCTTTTCCATCTTGAGTTCCCTGTGATAGCAGAGAAAGAGGAAAAGGAATTAAGTAAACAAAAATAAAATCTAGACTATATTCTAAACTAAATCTGATGGTAATGAGAAAGAGTCCCCGGCAACGGCGCCAAATTTGATATCACTCAAATTACTCTAAGGAGTGAATTACTCTCATCAAAAGAGGTTCAGTTGTAGTACTTAGGGATCGAATCCACAGAGAATCTAGGATTACACAACAGATTATTTAGTTTTCGAAATAAAGCTAGACCGCAAGTTTTAAACAATAACTTAGAAGATGAGCAAGTAATTGCTCGATTGATTGATTGATTTGTTAAGAGGAATAAAGTAGTTAGACTTAGGTATTTTCTCAAGTATGACAAACATGCAAGTTATAAAGGGTTTTTATTATTCATAGTTCTGAATTCAAACTTTTAAGGTTTTAATCTAAAGAATTAACTTCTACTGGACCTCGGGTCAACAACTATCGTTCGATGACCGTAAGAAAGTATCGATCGATGTTCAATAGAAATATCGATCGATGACTCACTGCTATATCGGTCGACAAGATGATTATCCTGTCGAACGATATCGCTTCCAGGGAGCTTTAGTGGCGAGTTTGAAACGGTTCTCTAGTCTTCACTAAACTAACTTAGATTTCAGGTAATTGCCAAGTTCTCACTTGTCCATATTGATCCTAAAATCAAAGATAAGGGTGATCAATCCTTAACATTTGCATTTATAATGACTAGATGAAGAACTATATTTTAAACACCCTAGTAATGGTTCATTCAATGCATGAGTCAACCTTAATGAGAAACCTAAATCTAACAAGAGAGACTACTCAAACATATTTATGAAAGATAAAGTCATAATGGTTTGAATAATGCTTTAAAGATCGTAATAGCAAGAGAAACAGTAAAGAAATAAGTAAAGCAAGAGAGTTCAAGATCTTCTCTGGATTTGTAGTTCAGATCTCTCTCTCTACTCCTAAGCTCTTCTCCAAGTATAGCTAGATGCTTCTCCCCAAATTAGGTCTAAAAAGTTCTCTCTAGAAAAGTCTGTCTAAACTAGTACAAAACCCTCATAATATAGCCTAATAGGCAGCCAGGGACTTAAAGTGTAATTATTAAAACTCTTGTGAAGCAATTAGGGCTTCTAATCTTTATTTAATTACTCGGAGGACTTCTGTATCGATCGATGGTGAATGTCTTCAATCGATCGATATGGGTAATCTTTCATCGGTCGATTGTTCTCAACGTACGTCGGTCGATATCTTTAACAGCGTTTTGCTCATATCTTCATAAAGTCTCCATTTTAGCTCCATTGGCTAGTTTACACCAATGAGTATCTGAACCTGTAAAAGCTCTAAAAAGACACAAGAAGTATCCTTTTGTTTCCAAAAACATATATAAATCATGGTTGAAAGTGGGTAAAATCCATGACATATCATCATGTTATCTTACTCAAGCCAAACTTAAGCTCAAAAGACATCAACTTATTTGTATGTTATCTAATAACATACAAGAAAACATTTCTGATAGCAGCCACATTCTGGTTTATTTCTGTCATTCTATCCCTCATCATCACGTTCACTATATGGACACTACATCTTATGTGCAAGAACTGACGATCTAATACCAGAGACTGATTGGAAACTAATGTAAATGCACTATAAAATTCCTTAATGCTGAACTATCGGCAGTTGCATTGTCAACGGTTACACAGAAGACCCTCTCAATCTTCCATTCAGCCAAGCAATCTAATAGAACAGATGTTATAGTCCGACTTTTGTGATCCGCGATGTGTTTGAATCCTATGATCCGCTTCTTCAGTCGCCACAAAGCATCAATATAATACACCGTAAAGACCATGTAATTAGAACCTACAAAACATTAAGTCATAAAGAATGTGAATAAGTTTCTCAAATAAATGTTTAACTTGTTAATCAAGTATGTTTCTAATGTATTACATGTTGTTTAGGAAACCCAAATATCTGTAGTGATGGACACACGTTGTTTGTGGCATTAGAACCATCTCTTCAGCGTTTTTTTCTTCTCCGCATACATCTCCACGATGTCTTTAGTTAAAGTCTTTCTTGAATGAGGAGTGTATCCTAGATTTGCCTACAAACATATAAAACATAGACATAATATTGTAAGAAACTAAGAACAACCAAAGCTTAAAGCAATATGAATAACACTTAAGAACAACAAACCTTTTTACAAAAATGCTTCCATACCACACTATCGAAAACCGATAAAGACAATTTTCCCAACACAGTCATCTCATTCATGGCTTCTCTAAACATAACCTCAGTAAGTCTACCTGTCTTGAGCTTCCCATCCTCAGAGATATTTTCTTGTTTCTCTTTTTGGATTGCTAACCACGCTTGATGGTTTTTACAAATCTTAAGATGCTTCTTCAAGTTCGAGGTCCCTGATGTGGTGAGACACGATAAAGTATTCTGACTGTAGTTGCATAGACACATGTTTTTGTCCTTCTTAGTTCTTGAATAGTGTTCCCACACTTCTGATCTTGTTGGGAGGATCCGCTTCACTTTAGATGGTTGAGAACTCTAACCACTAGATTCTTTCTTTTTGTCTATGTTACTATTTGGAGTTTGTAACTCTCCCTTATCTTCTTTGTTATAGTTTTCTAAATCAAGAGATGATGTCGACTCCATCTGCTTCAACGGACAAAATATGTGAGTGCACAAGTTCAAACCAATTTTGATCTCAATTTCAAGTACAAATAGAAAGAGACAGAATCAGCATACCAAACGACTAAGTAAGCTTTTGCAGTACATGACAAAGTTAAATGCTAAATAATTTTCTAACTCATCTCTTTTAGACACATTGAACAATTTCAACAAATATCGATATATACTAAGTAAGCTTCTTTATAAGAAGATTAAACTTATTCAAGCAATAAAAACAAGAATATCGACATAAATTCGACCAAGAAGAACCAAGAAAGAAGAAGAAGAACATGTGACTGATTTCTTGAAAGCTTAGATGAAGCCGAATAGAGAGAGTCTAGATGATTTATAGAGGCCATATTGTACTTTGCAGTGATTACAGGGTGAATCAAGGAAAACATTTTTTGGGAACTAGGGTTCTTTCGAGTTTTGACAAAGTGAAGAGGAAAAGATGAGGTAGAATCGAGGAATCGACATATGAATATGTGTTGTTATTAAACTCGGTTATGTCCATGGTTTAAGTCTAGTAACGGTTAGAATCGACCCAAACCAATCACCGAATTATTGGTTTATTAAAACCCAAATGGGTTTTCCCTTACATTCATGGTCGATCTGAAATTGGTAATTCGGTTTGGTTAGAGCATCTCCAAAAGGCCCTTATTTTAAAGTTTGAACAAAACTTTAAAATAAGATTTTTGGGTGTTCCTCTCCAAAAACAAAACCTTATAATAAACCTTAAAACTTTTATATTTTTCATAACAGTCTTTATATTTAATAAAACTTAACTAATAACACAAATCCTTAAAATAACTATAAAATATCCAATAAAATTATTATAAAACAAAATTAATAGAAGATATATATTATTGTAAAACCTTACATATAAATAAAAACATACAAAGTAAATCATGAAATTAAACAAACTACAGAATTATTCATTATAATTAGTTCCATAATGATTCCATATATGATCAATTAAGGTATTTCGAATTGATAAATGAGCATCTTTATGTATTTATTTGAACATCAACTTTATTTGAAGATCAATTGCGGAACTGTTTTTGTTTTGGTTAATTACACAGTAAAGCTATCAACTTTATTTTTTCGTTTTTTTTTTTTTTTTTTTGATTGAAGTGTGTTGTAGATTTTGAGATTTGGTTTAAGCTTATGAACAAAGGAGTTTGATTACTTGTACTCGACAAGAAACCTTTGAGAAAAATTGACGTCTTGTATCCAATTTCCACGAGGAAAGAAACTATGAAATAATATCTTTGAATATATAATATTTATTTACTGTGTGTTCGTATTTTCAATTTCTTGTATTTTGTTTGCTGTAATATTATCTTTATATAATATTTATTGTAGTTTATTTAATATTTTCTATTAAAAAGGAGTAAAATAATTAAATAAGAAAGTTATTAACTGAATTTGAAAGTTACACAAGTAAAAAAATTGGAAAAGTAAGAAATCTTAAATATAAGATTTGTACAGTAAAACCTTATATTTGAAGTTTCACTATACAAAACCTTAAAATTTAAGATTTTAAAATTGCTTTTAGAGTGCACAAAACCTTATATTTAAAATTATAAAAGGGAGCTTTTGTAGATGTTCTTAGAGGTATAAGTTAAAAACACCTAAACCTAGTTGTTATATTACTTTAGTTTCAATTCTAGATGATTGTTTTTACACTTTGTTCTAATAAGTTTGATATCAAATTAAGATAAATAATTTTACTGAAATAAAGCAATGAAAATAATAAATGGACTATCCATATCAATGAGAATAATAAACCTTTTTTTTTTCTTTTGCTTCTGATCTTATTCATGAATTTAAAAATTTAGACTAAATTTATCTTTCGAAATCTGCAACTATTTAAATCTATACAGCCTCCATGATATGCAATACTGAATATAATTATTATTGTTTGTTTTATATAAAATTGTGCGATGTTGGTTGTATCGTTATATAAAGTTGTGCGATATTGGTTGTATCGTCCGACACAGTTGGTGTGGTAGTGGTTCAGAAGGTAGGCAATAAATTTGAATATACTATTTGGTGATGCGTAAGAAAATATATGAAAAATCTCAACAATACATGTGAAGAAGAAAAAGTCTTCAACAATGCAACAAATCAAATCTGAGAAAGAAAACAACAACAACAAAAAAAAAAAAGGAAAATCAAGTCACGTGATTAAACCGAGAGAACAGAGTGAAAGACACGTGCTTGCTAGTTTTTTTTTTTTTTTTTTTTTTGTCCGCTCTTGCTAGCTAGATTACAAAACAGAGACAACACAGAGACACAAGCCACTGAGCCAGGCTTTTTCTTATCTCGCCTTTGACAATTGGCGAAGAATGGCAAAACCGTAAAATGAGACACAACCAAGTGGCAAACTAAAAAGTCTTCGTTATTGGTTTGCCTTCCGTGTTCACCTCGGACCCATCGGAGAGACACTTACTACAGATTCAAACTTTAATTATTAAAAGCTAAAACAAAAGAAGCTTCTCGTCTCGCATTTTTCTTCTTCGATCCCGAAAAGATGTTGAAGCTTTCTTGTAATGCCACTGATAAGTTACAGACCCTCTTCTCGCATTATCATCAACCGGATCCGTTACATCGGAGAATCGTCTCCTCCGTGTCCTGTTCTCATCTGAGGAAACATGTTTTGGATCCTTTGCGAGCGACCGTATCTGCTGATCAAGGAAGTGTGATTCGAGCAGAACAAGGTTTAGGTACACTCGCGGATCAGCTCCGATTGGGTAGCTTGACAGAGGATGGTTTATCGTATAAGGAGAAGTTTATCGTCAGATCCTACGAAGTGGGGAGTAACAAGACCGCCACGGTCGAAACAATTGCTAATCTTTTGCAGGTCAGATTTGTCCTTTTTAATTCAATGATTGGTTTGGTCTTCTCGAATGTCACGCACATGTCGTTTATATATGTTTGGTCTGGAAACTAAAGGGTTTGATATATATCTTTGTATGAATCTTGATTGGTAAAGGCAAGAACTTTGTTGTTGGGTTGATGTATTAGGAGGTGGGATGTAATCATGCTCAAAGCGTTGGATTTTCGACTGATGGGTTCGCGACAACAACTACCATGAGGAAACTACATCTCATTTGGGTCACTGCGAGAATGCATATTGAGATCTACAAGTACCCTGCTTGGTATTCTTGTTTTTGCTTCTTTTTAAAAAAAAAAACTAAAAAAAAAAAATCTATATATGTATTTGAATCCAAATGAACAGAGTTTTTGGATTTTTGGTTATAGGGGTGATGTGGTTGAGATAGAGACATGGTGTCAAAGTGAAGGAAGGATCGGGACTAGGCGTGATTGGATTCTCAAGGATGTTGCTACGGGTGAAGTCACTGGCCGTGCTACAAGGTTTCCTTTTCATCCTTGCTAGCTTTCTGTATTGGTTTGGGACCCCTTATGTAGACATGGATGTTGGAGTTAAATGTTTTATGTTAAGATATAGGTCTCGGTAATTTGGATTTTATAGGACTCTCCTGATTAGTTGTCTGGCGTATGTTTCAGCAAGTGGGTGATGATGAACCAAGACACGAGACGGCTTCAGAAAGTTTCTGATGATGTTCGGGACGAGTACTTGGTCTTCTGTCCCAAAGAACTCAGGTAAACAAAACAGAACACGTTATTTGATCTGTTAAATATTACTCGCCAACTGATCTGTTCTGTGTATGTCTTGTAGATTAGCATTTCCTGAGGAGAATAACAGAAGCTTGAAGAAAATCCCGAAACTCGAAGATCCAGCTCAGTATTCGATGATTGGGCTTAAGGTTAAAAATCAAGAACAAAAGTGTAGAACTCTTTCTCTATCTTTATGACTCAACATTCCTCTAAGACTTTATTAATCATCTTTTTGCAGCCTAGACGAGCTGATCTCGACATGAACCAGCATGTCAATAATGTCACCTATATTGGATGGGTTCTTGAGGTAAGTCACCAGATTTTTTTTACTTTTAAGAAATGGGAACTTGAGTAATCAAATAATATTGTTTCTTGGTTATGGCAGAGCATACCTCAAGAAATTGTAGACACGCACGAACTTCAGGTCATAACTCTGGATTACAGAAGAGAATGTCAACAAGACGATGTGGTGGATTCACTCACTACCACCACCTCAGAGATTGGTGGGACCAATGGCTCTGCAACATCAGGCACACAGGGCCACAACGATAGCCAGTTCTTACATCTCCTAAGGCTGTCTGGAGATGGTCAGGAGATCAACCGCGGTACAACCCTGTGGAGAAAGAAGCCCTTCAATCTCTAAGCCATGTTTTTCTCAAGTTTCTATCTTTGTCACTGATGGTTTTGCTTCACGAGTCTAGTCACGTCTCATTTTTTTAATATAAATTTGGTTAGACTATAGAGCTGGAATTATTGGAGTAGTCTTTGTGGAACTTATGAGTTTTCGTTCTTGTTTCTATACAAATCCTGAGGATTTAAGCCAAACTCATTTCATCTTTAGTGTCTTCTGGTCTTGTCTTGTGTCTCTGCGTGATTTTTATCGAAAACTCACAACAGAAAAGATTGTTCGTCAGATATTTTTATATAAATTGGGTTACTTTGACAGAAGAGCTCGTACAAACATTATTTCAGTTAACACCAACGAGTCAATGACCAATTGTTTTCACATAAACCTCTATGGTTATTTGATTAAACAAGTTACATGACTGATAACAACTCTGCCTATTACAAAAGGCTCGTAAAATTCCGAACAATGTGGGACAAAAGAAAAACTAAAAATTAGAAAAGGAAAAACACAATGAGTCGAATAACAAATAGATACCTTGAGAGTTGTATGTCAAAGCTTCTCAGTTAATCTAATCATGAAAGAGTTAACCGCAGAAGCATCCAAGACGATCCATGAAGACTCGAATAGCTCATGGAAGTAATCAGCTCTACTCTCTTGAGCTGCTTTTCTGAAAGCATTACCAAACGCGTTCCCTCTCACTGCACCAAGCCTCGGCTTCCCACAAACTCCAACCACAAGTATCTTCCCTGGTTCTTGGGATGTGCAAGCACATAGCATCGGTTTCATCCTCGCTCCTTTCTCTCTCAAGGCATCCATTAGAAAGTAGCAGAACTTGGTCAAAGCCTGAGGATATCCCAAATACTTAGCATCAATAGAATCCTCAACCTTCACCCATCTGAACTTCCTTCCACTCCGGATGCATCCGGTTTTGGTGATCGCTGCACTTCCTTGTCTGAGAATTGCTCTTTGTACCCTGATTGCTTGTTGCATACCGGAACGAAGTTTATCCAGATTGTTCAATGACAAAGCATCATAAGCTTCTCCAAACTGTTTAGAAGCAGAGGAGCCACCTGAACCAAGAAACGACTCAAGAAGCGCTGTAATACCATAGACAACATCAGCTGCAGAGACCCTTGAGCTGTATCCATGAAGACGCAAGAAACTCCTGTAGTAGAAATCATTTAAACCATACTCTGGCAAAAACCGATCAAACTCTTGCTTCATTTTCCTCTTCACCTCGTTGTTCATGTACGGAAACTTCTGCTGGCACTCGATAAGCGCAAACCCCATACGTGCTAGAAGAAGTTTAAGTTTCTTGATCCCGTTATCACTCCACGTCTTGAGTTTAGTTGCAATGTATGAGGAGCAAAGCATGGAGTCAAACAAGTTCCACTCTCTAAGCAGCATAAGCCTAGGCTCTTCTTCGTAAGAGATTCTTGAACAGTCAGGCGCTCGAACCTTGGTTCCATCTTTGAGAGTAACGGAAGTGATCTTGTCAATGTTCCCAGAGCTATTGATGTGTTGCTCAAGCTCCATAACCGCAGCTTGGTATCTTTCATCGGTTAACCTTTCGTGAACAAACTGATCAGTCAAGGAAACACAAGCCAGCCAGAGCAACTCGTTGGTGTTCTTCCTCAAAAAGTGAGACAGCTCAAACAACAAACACCCAGAGGGTTTCCCATGGAAAGTCCCCATCTTGTAATAATCCCTCTTTAGCTTCTTGAAAAGCTTCACACCATCACCCATTCTCCTCCTCTTACTTGGCCTATCACCATCACTCTCTTCATCTTCATCTTCATCTTCTTCTTCTACTTCATCCTCGTCTTCACCATCAGATTCATCACCTGTTTCTTGATGCATCCGAAAGCTCTCGTTAGCCAGCTTCAACACATCGAAATCATAAGCGAGATCCGCTTGCCTCTCATCATCATCAGTATAAAGAGCAACAACCTGATGATTCTCATCACTCAGATTATGCAAATGAATAGGCCTGTGACTATCCACCACAAAGACACGTGCCGCAGGACCTAGCTTAAGCACAAGCTTCAAATCACGGTGACAACCCCAATTAATCAACAGTATGGTGACGGGAGACTCCGAAGAAGAACAGAGGCCAGGACCAGCGTACTTGTGGATCTCAAGAAAGGACGAGACTGGGAAACACGAGTAGTGAATCGAATCTGTTTCGAGGATGTGTGTTATGACCTTGAGGGCGCAAATCGAATCGACATCAGATGAAGAAGGGAATATCAAGAGAGGATTAAGAGAAGATGAGGAAGTAGCGGCTTCACGAAGCTTAGCGTAAAAAGATTCTACTTTCTGGATTCTCACCATGTTTCGCACTAAGCTTGGATTATAATAATAAGAACCCTAATTTTACCCAGAAATGGCGGTTGGATTGAGAGAGAGAGTACCTGAGATTCGACTTCTTTGGTGAATGTTGTGAGCTTCGAATTAGGTTCCTTTCTCTCTTGAAGAAAATCAAATCAAGTAAAGATGGAGAGAGAGTGTGTGAGGAAGATAAAGATTTGGAGGAGGTATGTTTCTTCTTTCTCTGGTGATGAAATGTTTAGCATATTTTCAACTTTTTTGGGGGTTAAAATCTTCAAAATTTCGAAATGTTTTTGCTAGGCCGCCAAAACTTTGATGTTGGCGCTGAAAAGAGGAGGGAAGGATCTTATGGATTGCATCGACGGAGCATGCATGACCCTGCCTTTATTGAAGTTTATTACGCACCAAAAATAATTATAACTCTTCTTTATCGATTATTATTAAATTAACTAGGTAAGGAATATTGCACGAAAAACTATTTTATAAGAACAAATATATCATATTTTATGACTTATATATTCATTTAAATTTGTTTATTTTTTCAACGAAAACACTATAACACATATTAAAATCTTCTCTATTAAAAGAGAAGTACCATTTATATCTACTACAAAAAAGTTATGTTGGACCATCTCATTAATATGACATATTTAATTATTTATATTAATCAATCAAATATATATAATTGGAAGAATATTTTTAAAATTAATAATATATTAGTAATAAATTTGTCGAGAAAATATCTAACAAGATCTTACTAAGAAGTTTAAATATTTTTATAAAATATGCATTATTTAATTTCGTGATTAATATATATAAATATCTATATTAATGTTAATTAAAAATAAAAATTGTTATTTTTATAATTTAGTTAAATTCTATACTATATAAAAATAAAATTCTATGTGAAATGAATATAAAATGTATTAAATTGGTAAAGGAAAATATTTTATTTTAAAACTTTTCTTTTATTCAAATAAATATATAAATATCACTCACTTTTAAAACATATTAAAGTTTTTAAATCATATAATATTTTTATACAAAAAATCTTAACATATATTTTTGTAACTTACAACATATACATTATATAAAAATTATATATGAATATTTTTTATTTTAAAACTTACAAAAATATATTATATAAAATAATTAAAATTATAAGATTATACAATTATGCAATATATAACAATAGAATGTAAATCATATATATTTGAAAAGTTTTGTTATACTTTTATAAAATGAAAAAATACCCGCACGGATGTGCGGGTTCAAAATCTAGTATAGATTACATGCGTCATCTTTTAGAAGTTGTGTTCTTTGCTGACGTAAATATACCAATACCAATTTAAATACATATATTAATACAATTTTAATTAAATTGTATTAATAATATCAAATAATTTACAATAATAATAATATAAATAAAACTATTTAAATTGGTATTGGTATATTTATATTAAATTATAATCTAAAATTGTGAATTGTTTGAAGCCATATAAGAATATAAAGATAGTCAAAACATGATTGTCTGGAAAACTTTAAGAGATTTTCTCTACCAACATGTTTTTTTTTTTGAGAAATTTTCTACCAACATGTTCTTCTTGGTAAATTGCACATGCATTATTTTTTCCTTCATTATTTGTATCTTCAGTAAAGTTATACTTTTCTAAAAAAATTAACTACTTTTGAAGACAATTTTGGTCTAACATTCTACAAAAATTGTATAACAATCACCAACAATTACAATGGTTCATTAGTACATATTACAATGTTTCATCATTAAAGATCAAAATGGCTGCTAACCAAAACTTGTAATTTTTATTTAATTAATTGCAGCTATTAATCCAGAAAATTGCAAAAGTTCACTTAAATGGTTACAAATATTTATTTAAATTTCCAAAAATAATTCTCCCTTTAAGTTTAATTAGATATTCACTAAATGAAAAATACATATATAACACTCATGAATAAATTAAAAAGTGCACATATAAAAAAATTTGTTCTTGGATTTCATTTTATTTTATTTTGATGCAATCTTGGTTTACATTTATCAAGATAAATGAATAGTTTTAATATTTTCAGCGTAATATATAAAGTTTAAAAGGCACAAGTGAAAAGATGCAATTAATTATAAAAAGAAAGTTATAAACAAAAAGGTACCACAAACAATTATAAATGAAAAGGTATAATATACAGTCATGAAAAGACATCTTTTGAAATTATTAGGAGTTGATATTATTGATAGACATGAACAAAATTATAATGAAAAAGAGTTATAAACGAAAAGGTACCAAAAATGGTTAGGAATAAAAAGGTATAATAAACAGTCATGCATATTATATATATGAAAATAAAAAGACAATTTTAAAAGACAAAATAAATTATAAGAAAAATGTAAAATAGAATATTTTGAACGAAAATGTATAATACACGTTTATAAGCACAGTTATAATGAAAAACTACAGTCGTAAATATTGTTTGGAGTACATGTTATTGCCTTAAAATAAAATAAATAATTATTAGATAAAAATGATATACAAATATTGCGACCAATATGGCTTCTTGTTCAACAATGAAGACAGACCTTTGATGATCATCTGCAACAAAGAAGAGAAGAAAAAATAATAATAAATAGAAACGGTAAGATAAAGGAATAATTAGATGTAAAATTGATTCCCTTTGGTCACCTGAGACATCTTAAGTGGTAAGAAAACATGGATCCTGTAAGCCTTGTAGTAATTAGTCCTTGGACCTAAAAAATTTTTGGGATCGTTATCCAAAAAAAAAAAAATTAATAATCTTATCCCATCTTTAATATATCATTTCAGTTTTCTGATTTTTTAGTTGCAACGGAATGATGCCAGCCCACATATAATACCACGCCAATTAACAAGGTTATAAATTCTTTTAGAAAATTTATAAAGTTCATTAACCGATACATATGAAAGAACTATGTATTAGTTGTATATTTTCTTAATGTGGAAAACTCAATATATATATAGAGTTGAAAGACACAAGTGAAAATATGCAATTAACCACAAACGGTTATGAATGAAAAAGTATAATAGCCAGTTGTGAAAATACAATGAAAAGACATATGTTTTCAAATTATTAGGAGTTGCTATTATTGATAAACATGAACAAAATTATGATGAATAAAAAACAGTTATAAACGAAAAGATACCACGCACAGTTATGAATAAAAGATATAATAAACAATTATGAAAAAAATGATGAAAAGACATATTGTTTCAGAATAAAAACACATCTTTTCAATTTATAAGAATTCATAACATTTGGAATTAATCAGGATTACTATTATTAATAGACTAGGTAAAAACCTGTGTGATATCACATGAAAAATCATTGCATAAAATAAATATGCTATAGTTTTTAAAGTAACCTTTTATGCAAACTTTTCTAATTGTTTTCGAGAAAATACATGTGTCAAAAAATTATCGTTCATGTAACTATTATTACTTTATTGATAAGGTTAAAAATCTATATTTTGTTTGATAAGTTTGCTTGTAATAAAATTAAAAATATATCAATACCAAATAAGAGATATATATATATATATATATATATATATATATATATATATATATTAATCATCTATTTAGCTAAGTTATTTAAAAATCTCGAAAAATACTAAATATCTGAAACTAATTAAAAATCAAACACATTCCAATCCAATCAAATAATTTACTAAATTAGTAAGGTAACTTATAATGTGACAAGTCGAATACTCAAATTTGTTTGAGACAGTGTAAGAATGTGTGGTCAAAAACATGATTATATTGTAATTTTAAAATATCTTATCCCTTAACATAAGCTTCTTAACATTTGCAAGGATTCATTCAAAAGGTTGCAAATTTCACTTAAATCGCTAATAATACTATCTTATTTATGTGTAATAGTGATTCATTAAATAATAGCACATATATCAAACTGATGCAACAATAAATGTTTTTAAACCAATGCAGTTTTTTTGATAACCAATGCAGTTATTAGGATGAAAGACGTCATTTAAATAACTTTTAAACAAATATAATTATTAGAATTAAAAGATACACTTGTATATTTTGATAACATCTTTTAAATGAATGCAACTTTTACGATGAAAATACACATTTTAAAGACGAGAGACACATCCTTTAGCACTACAAGAAAACACGTCCTTTACTAGGACGGGTTTTCCTCGTTATTTCCTAGTAAATGGTCCTTTACTAGGAAATAACGAGGAAACGTGTTTCGTCGAAAGCCGTTCATCGTAAAGCCTATTTTCCTCGTAAAGGCCTAGCTAATTTACGAGGGAAGGTTTCCTCGTAAAGCCGTGGAAAACATTTCCTCGTAAGCTCCACGTATACTTTCCTCGTAAGGGCATAGTAAACCATTTCCTCGTAAACTCGTAGTAGACAC